GAGTCAGCTAGACATGATATTTCCAACTGTTGATATTTCATTTTTTGTGGAATCAGAATCTGAACACCCGGGTTGAACACCAGGTTTAAAACTAGAACATGACAAGTGAAGCAATCGATCTTAGCTAATCTTATATCCCTTTTCTGTTTAAAACAAATAGGGAAGTGGAAAGTTTCCCAGTGCAAAATTTTTCCTAGATCTCGGAGGGATTCTCGGCGAGTTTAAATTTTGGCCTCCGAGAATTTTGGATCTCGATCTCCGTCTAATTTTGGGCTGGTGTCTATAGTATAAACTATTCCTGTTTTTACAACTTCTTGTAGAGTCATCTTTAATGATACCTTTAAAACTTAAGCCTTATTGCAAGTCATTTTTGATTGGGTTAATATTTCTATGAGTGTGTAATCTATAAAACTAGTGTTATTACGAAGGATTATTTTTGCTAACCAGTTGGCCTGCGTAGTAGGTGCCAGTTTTATTCCTAATAACCAGTTAGAAATTAGAAGGTATATTTATGGCAAGTAGGAAATTTCCATACATAAAAACATAAAAGAAAATTGGAGACTCTTAAATTACCTTCTCAACGGAAAAAAAACTTACAGAGTATAGTTATTCAATACAAGAATTAAAAGGAATGTATCATAGGTGTTTTCGTGGATTTAACAAACCTAAACATTGTCAAAGGCATCAAAGAAACACGTAATTGTTGTGGCAACAAACTCTTACCAACCGAAGACAACATGTTTACTATAATGGAACAAATTCTGGGATGTTCGACATTATATGTTGAGTTCCTCAAGATTCTATTTCACACCCCTTTCTGTTTTTAATTGATATCAATGACATTGTTTCTGCCTGTACTATTAAATTCACACCTTTTGCAGATGACACCAACATATTAAAGAAAGATACGGCATTTAATCGAAATAACTACTGAGGAATTAAGTAAGTTATCTTTATGGTTCAAGGCAAAAAGGTTATCGCTTAACATTACTAAACCAAGAGAGAATGATCTATTCTCTCTTTGTAAAACTAACTATGTAAAAATTGACAATTAATATTGATGGAAATATAATAAGTAGTAAGGGTAAAGCACTGTCTGTTTTCAGGGCTTTATATTTGATACCAGACGATACTATTAAAAGCGGTAGCCTATATTATAATAAAAACAGCAGTGTTGTTTTGGCTTATTACTTATATACTTTACAATTATTAGAACTGTACTTCTTTAGAAAAGGGCAGTAACAAAAATAGCTTAACAACTTTAGAGGGTGGGTCATCCTAGTGATGATTGGTTTAATTTAAACAAATGTGTTGCTACCAAACAGTCTATATCTACCTGGACTTTTGAAAACCGGGTTGCCCGAAATCTTAAGTCAAGTCCAGCACATTGCAGGTAATCTTTCAACAGTTAATTGCTTCAAGCCGTGATGCTTTTAGTGTTAAAATATAAATCTCCCTCTTCAGGACTAACCACCTTCAGCTCTTTATCATGGGCTCCAAATAACTTCCTGGAATTGACAGAAATCAGTGGAAATTCCAGAAAATGTGCACGAGGGGGTCAACAGGCCGGGCCGTAGGGCCAGCTATTTTTTTTTGGTATGCATTTGGAGTAGCCTGGATAAATTCCAAGGGGTGGGGTTGTTCTAAAGACTATGCTTTGTGCAGGAGTGTGGAATTGCTGAGTTATTGTACTGGGGCTACCCCTGTCCTCAAAGCTCAGTGTCTCCCTCCAAATTGAGGGCGTTTTGTTTCTAGCTGGGAGTCATGTTGTTGCAAAGATAGCCTGGTGAAATTCCAGGGGGTTGGCGTTGTTGTAAAGTTTGATTTGTTTTCGCACTGTTATGCAGTTTTTTTGTGCTGTTTGCGTGCTGCATGCAAGCAATTACCCACTCCGCAGATAATGTTCCAAGTCAGCAAGCAGTTAAGTTGGTGGTTGTTGGACTTGGTTTTGTTGAGCAGTGTTGGTTTAGATTGTTTGGGGAGGCCAGTTGCAATGAAAAATGGGGTGAACTGAGGAGATGGCTTTGCAATCGGTGACGTTAACGCTAAAAATTGTCCCTTAAAATGTCTTCTTCTCCAGACTAATGAGGAAAGCTTCACCTTTGTTACCTTCAAGACAGACGTTTCTATCAAATGGTAGCTCATGTATTCAAGAATCTCTTTCTGAGGTGAGACTTTACTTTTCAAGTAAGAAGGGGCATTAAATTACCAATCAGTGCGAGAGACTGACATGTTTTAGTAGGCCGGTTTTCAAAAAACCAGGTATATATTCAAGATAAGAAAGAAAGTAGACAAAGAAATACAAAGTTATGTTTCTTTTCTTCGGCGTAGTATCAATATTAAATAGAAGTAAAGGCAATTCTAACTTTTGTACGTATTCAAGGGAAGTTTACATAACTACTGATACCTATCTAACAAGAACGAAGAAGAATTGAAAATTTTTGCATTATTTACTTTGGTCATGTTTGTGATAGTCATAAAGAGGGGGTTGGTGGTAGGCCGGCACGACTTTCATCACATTGAATATGCTATTACTTGTTCATTTTCTTTTCTCTCTAGCGGCAGGCTAGGCTTTGCAGGGTGGAGGATTTTTGGTGTTGAACGAATGCTCTATTTTTGCTATTTGTCTCATATTGGAGGGAGGGGGGCTGGAAGTCTGTATGTTTCCTGGATGATGATTTCATGCAGTTTTTGGTTCTAACCTGATGGCGTGGCTAAATAATTTTTTAATAAAAGTTTTATTGCTAGTTTTGTCTGAAGTGCCAGGATCAACATAACTACACAGTAATTTTCAGGGAGTTGTAATAACCCCTCTAGTGGGGCTGATTTAACTCCTTACAGTGGAGTTATTTTTTGGGAGTTATTTTAACTCTAAAAAGGAGTTTAAAGAACTCTTTTTCAGGAGTAAAAATGACCCCAGATATTGAGGAGTTAAAATAACCCCCAAAAAGGAGTTATCCTGTACCTAAAATTGTTACTCCATTTTTGGAGTTATAATAACTCCGTAAAAATTACGGGGTACATGCAATAAAAGTAACCCCATTTCGGAAATATCTTAACTCCAGACTGGGGGTAAAAAGAACTCTTTTTCAGGAGTAAAAATGACCCCAAATTCGGACTTAAATTAGGAGTTAAAATAACCCCCAAAAAGGGGTTATTCTGTACCTAAAATTTTTACTCCATTTTTGGAGTTATAATAACTCCCTAAAAATTACGGGGTACATGCAGTACATGTAGCTTTTTTGTCTGTGAATGTAATAAGTTTCCAGCTATGCTTTGCCATCACACTGGACCCAGCTATTTCGTGTTGCTTGCAGGATGTTGATTTCTCACGGATAGTAACTTACAGATCCAATTTTTAAAAGGGAAGGAAGCTACACGAATTATGGAAATTGTAAGTTGTAATTCCTCCTTTGATTAACTGCTTATGAATTAGCTTAACCAAGTCTGTCTCTTCTTGAGCAGGCAAATCATGTTCAGTTGCTACTAAATGAATAACCTTTAGAGGGTCTGGATTAAGGTGTGTGAATGGTGGTGAGGGGGGAGGGGGGTGGGTACAAATGTCATTTGTAAAATTTTGGCCAGTTATCAGTTGTCTTTTTTGTCAGTTGTCAGATAAATGCTTTTTAATAACTAATTATGAAACTAATTTGTCTATTTATTGATAAGAAATCTTGCTGAAAAGGCATTATGCAATGGAAATTAAACCTTAAATCTGATGCAATAGTACCTTAATATTTATCCGTTTTGGTTTTGAAAGCATTTCAAGTGGCCCTCCGTTTCTTAAGTCTTATGTAGCTCTCCTTCACACAACGTTTTTACTGGCCAGAATCCAGCATTTCCAACAATTTTAAAGCCAATCAAAATTTATACCTTCAGAATATTGCCGAGGAAGTAGGAAGATCGAAGGGCCTCTGCTCGCGGGGTAAGTGGGACGTAGATCGTAAAAAAGACAAAGACCGTATCTGAATCATGTCGATAAAAAAACTTACAATTGCTTTTATAACGTCCTCATTAGCAACCATCGTGTATGCTGGCGTGTTCTCAGAGGAGCGTAAATTTGAGATCATAGGTCTTTTACAACAGATGGTACATGACACACATGGGTTTTAAAGTAAATCATCAACGAAATATGACCCCTAAGTGTCTGCCTGCTAAGATTAGTACACATATAAACGCATATTTGATCACGTTGTCTGACGAAAAGAGTGGGACAATGCTATTAATATAAAAGGCCTTAAAAATGGTTTTGTAGAAAATATAGGACAATCAGGTCCTTTGTTAGTTGTCAGTAAAACCCTATGGCAAATGTCAGTTGTCAGTTAACCCCATCCAGACCCTCCTTTTACTGAGATGTTTAGTCATTGTAGTGTACAACCGTCCGCTCTAGGCTAAGCTTTGACGTTGTAAGCCTGATAATAGGGAGCTCAAGACTCAAGGACGAGGACGAGGACTACGAGGACCACATTTGATTTTAAGTTTTCTCGCCTATGCTCTAAAAATATACACCCCGGAAAGCTTTATTGTACTTTTTTTCACCACAAAAGTTAGCACGCTTATTTCCGTTGAAGAAGGTAAAGCCCTCTCCCGATCGCTAAATGATAAAATTCCTAACATCTGATAACTTGTTCCCGCCACTACGACATTCTCGCTTGTCAGTAGCTAGTAGAATGACGACGGCTACCACATTTTCCCGCCAAAATGACGCTGGTTCACGCGTGCGCACCTACTTAGAAAATCTCGTTCTCGTAGTCGTCCTCGTCTTAGAATCTAAAGCTCTCTTATCTAAATCCTAACGAAGCGATGCCAGAGTCTGAAGCTTTATGACTTCCTCACACACAAAATGTTTTTTTTGTAAACAGTAAAAGTAAATCTTTATCTCAGCAGGGCCGTGACGGAAGGGGAAGCGGAAGCGGAAACCTGTTTTCTTGCAAACAAGTTCTATACTCATAACCTTTTCGCAGTGGGCAGGAAATTAAGGTTCTGACTTCATTCTGTCGCTCAGTTAAGAATCCAGAAATGGCAATGGCGCAGCTTTCTAGCTGGAATCAGAAAACCAATATGGATTTAAGGCCTGCGGTTTAGCGACGGTTCCAGTAGTACTGCAGAGCTTAACTGTCTGGCAATACAAGCTGCTCCTGCAGGAGCTTAACTGGGAACCAATTCCTTGGACTCTTGGACCACCGGAACAGAGTGTAAAACGATTTGCAATAGACACCGCGTGGTACAGGTTCGAAGGTGCGGCCGGGACAAGAATACCAACGTCATGATCACCTAAATACAAGTGTAACACAAACGCACCCGGCTGGCTAAAGGGCGGGCACCTTAGTCTGGCATATGGTCAGGTTACAAGGAAAGCGTGTTTCCACCGGTCAAACTGTTGTTCTCTTTCCACCAACATCAAAGTAAAGAACTGTGGTTCCTATTACGTCCACCACCTCAAGAGCACTGGAGGTTGCTGGTAACGCTACTGTAGTACCGACAAAACAGGGAGCTCATCATCAACTTACAATGCGATCTTGTATTTGATCGACCTTCATTTTGAAATTAACTTTGCTTTGTAATGTTATTTAAGAAAAAAAAGGAATTATTTATTATGTCCCTTAAATAGCAATGCCCCCTCCGCTATACGTTTCCTTCCAAACATGAACCATAACCTTAACGGTCATGAGTTGGAGGAAGAAAGGGGGGCGGGGGGGTAGTATAAGAAAGGCCATATGCCAGAAACTATTCTTTCCAGCAGCTGTTTAGTTATTTTTGGGCACATTTTGGCAAACTTGGGGCACATTCAATTGCTACCGACGGTTACGGGATAAAACAGTAAAAAGTAAGACCCTTTTTCAGGCAAAGAAAAAGTGTTGGGAGGCTGTGATGCCTATGCTTAGCGGTATTACTTTTCAAGAGTGTATGTGTGTGTGAAGCCGGAACATCAACAGATCGTTGTGTTTACTGTTCCGTCTAAGTGCTTGTATATTGCTTCTTAGTCATTGATTTACCGGCTGGTTAAAATGTAAAAAAAAAAGCATATCATATCATTTTTTTCTTACCTCAAGCAATCTTAGTTTTGACGTATTATCTTGTAAGTTAATTATTATTGTCACTGAAGAGCCTTCTTTAGGGAGTGTCATTAAATTTTGTATTGTATTGTATTAGTTTCTGAACTATTTGTATGGTATTAAATAGATTCAAAATAGGCCTATGACTAATGTATCTGGGGTGGGGATGAAAAAAGCTAAGAGGGCAAATCGAGACCCCGTCCTCCGTCAACACTGCAACATTTTTTATTATTCGTACAGTCGAGTAGTGCCTTTTTAAACATTTTAATGTGCGATTTTTTGTTTCGATTAACGTCTTCCTTTGTAGTAGCGCTATTCCAATTAGTTTATGGTTTTAATAGACAAAAGTGCGCTGTAACGTTATCTGTTTCGAATAGTTTTATAAATACGAGAGGATGTTCTTCAAATAATATCAACAGAATTGATGCCATAACCAAAGAAACGTTGATTCACGTGTATAGCTCCCTATTTTGCCATGTAATTCTGGCTTGATGAGCAATGAAGAGTTGAATGCATAAAATCGAGAACATGCCTTTGCAATTTTCCGTCATTGACAGATGAGCCAATCTGCTTGTATTTCCAATAAAATCTTCTGTGTAGTTATATTCTGATAGGAAACCACGAGCTTGTCAAAAGCTCTGTTTGCAAATGCCCGGCCTCCGGGCAGCGCAAAATTTGCAATGTCCCACCCCCGGGACTGACAAGGTGGGCAACAGCCCCGCAGTAGCCAGGGGGGAGGGGGGAGGATGCTAGGCACAACTGGAATTGACTGATGTGTCAGTCGTGCAAAACAACGGCAAGGAAATGTTCAAAAATGTGCGCTACAGGTGCAAATTTGTTTTTTGCTAATTAGATCTGTTGATTTTGTTGTCGTTCTCATTGCCGTCGTCGTTAAGCATTACACGATTTCATCAGTTTTTGTTAATAAGTACCTTGTTCACGAGAGCGTCACTTTTAGCCCTGGCTAAATCTATATATTAGGCTATTCACAGTACCGTTAGATCTCTAAAATGCATTCTAAGCAGCGGTATAAAATTTGTATCTGTTCGGTCACGCGTTTCTGAAATCAACTCAGTATACTTCAGTATACGTGAGTAGTCAGGACTAAACGATAATGACCGATCTAATCAAATGTTATTGCTGGCATATATAACTTACATCAGAATTCGGGCACAAAAACAGCATATTGTTGTCATTTTCATTAAACGTAAACTTAATTTGAGTCGAGAAAATAGCCAACATAGTCGCATGTCAGCAAGCCAAAGTTCTACTTTACCATAATCAACTGCATGATTTTGTATTATTCCCCTTATGGCCTCAAGTAAACATAAGTTTTGGTGTCGAAACTGCATGAACTACTGTGGTTCGTAAGGACAAATTTAATTTTCTCGTCACATTTGCTGACATCCTTCAACTCCAAATTTTTATACCGTTTTTGATAGAAATATTTAAGGGAAGTTGAAAACTGAAAAAATCTCTCCAATATCTCAAATATGAGCTGAGAGATGACATTTTAAATTTGGATAAGTTCGTAGCACAAAAACGGGGTCCCCCCTTGTAAAATAAGTCTAAATTTAAGAGTTTTAATGTCAAGTCGCTCTGGCTATTTAAGTTACACATAACACATCTTTACTGTCGAAATCTAAAGGGAAAAGAGACGTTTGAAAAAAGATTTTCCCAACTGCGCAAAAACCTGGAAAACAGTTTTGTGACGTCATAAAATGTCACGTGATCATTTTTTTTTTTTGCTTAAATTAGTGTTTTTGAGTCAAAAAACGAAAATCTACAATGATACGATTTTGGCCAACTATAAAAAGTTTGTGTTACCGGAAAATCAGCTTATTTTGTAAAAAACTGTGAAAAACTATATCATACGGATCGTTTTTTGAGGAAAAGTATCAATGGTTCCGGGAGTGTACTCAAATTTCTTTGAAGTCCCATAACTCGTGTTTTACGTGTCGTAGGCAGAAAAGGTTTTCGCTGTTTTACTTCTCTCCTAAAGCTCTTTCAGATGATACAAGTTTAACTTTGAAATTAAAAACTGCATTTAACCCATTGGTATTTCGCGTCAAACAAAAACGTAATATCACTTGGTCAACAATCGTAGTCTATCTGGCAAGCTTTGTCAAGAAATGAAAAGAAATGTAAAAGATACGTAAATTTAGCCTTAATAAGACATTTGAGGAATGGCTTTTGGGCCCATCGTGAAAAAACTTTCCAGAATCCAAAGTACTTCCCAGAATCCAAAAATATGTGCCAGAATCCCAGAATCGAAAACACTTCCCAGAACCATGTGTTCTTGGATTCTGGGAAGTGTTTTGGATTCTGGAAAGTGTTTTGGATTCTGGAAAGTGATTTTGAGTTCTCGGAAGTGTCTTGGATTATGGCAAGGCTTTGTCCCTACGAGCCAATTATAATAATAATTCAAGTGGTTGCATAGTTTCTAAAAAAAGGTAAAAGTTTGCAAACAACTAACATTTGCCTGTTCCCTGGAAACTCTTTCCGCTAGTTATTGGCAAGTTTGTTGGTGCTTTTTTACCAGCTCTCTTTTCGGTAGTCCTCGCCGAATTTTTTCGCCAGTTCAGAGGTTCATGCGAAGGTAGGTATACTTAAGAGAGAATGTGCTAATGAGACACATTTGTTTCATAGTGACCCTTCAAAATATATTTTAGATAATCTCGCCAATGACAGGAGAATTTCATATTATCTAGAGCACACGGTCAGTCTCTTAAACTTTCTAAAAGTCCTTTTTTCCTGGTTGGTTATTCCATTTTAAACCTCGAGGCTTCGTCCCTCGCTCGGTCGTTGGGCGACCTCATGCATTGAAGCTCGCTTCGCTCACTTTTAAGAACTTATGAGTGGTCGACTTGTAGCAAGTCTAGTCTATTGTATGTATGTAAAAAGGGTAAACGGGGAAAAAGCCCGGGAAAAAATTACTAATAGGACTAGGGTTTAGTTAAGTTTTATTCCCATTTTCCAGTTTCCCGTGCTTGTTTTCTGTTCCCTGCCCGCTGTTCTAGTTACATCCGTTCTCACGGTTTCTTTGCTCGCTTGTTTTCCTTCACAGGTATTAATTAAAGACTTTAAGTTTGAAATTTGCAGATTCAAAAGCAGGGGCACCCAACGTATTTCAGCTCTGTTTTCTTAAGCTCAAGAAGGGTAAAACATTCTTGATAACCTTTTCATTTTTCACATTTTATTACCAAGATATTGCGAGTCTGGCTGGAAGAATGATATGAAAATTTCGCTATAAAAACAAAGCTTTCCCTAGAATCTTCTAATGATTACTGTGAAACGCACAAAACCGTGAATACCAGAAATGTTTATGGAATGTTATTGTGTTGCGAGAAATCAGCCAATAACGCGCGAGATAATAACTAAACCGCAAACAGCTGCAACGGTAATAAGTTTGTGGTTTTGAGTTTTGCTTGCGTACCTGAACTTTATTGTGACTGGCCAGCATTCCTGAAATTATTTAGGTGTTCACGGTTTTCTAACTTTTACAGTAACAGCTACTCTATTTCCTTAAACATTTAGTAGAACCCATCTGGGTAGCTCGACAGTTTCGGATGAGACGAAAAATCTGGCACAGCTCCACGTCACAGCTCAATTATCGCTATAATAATAATCTTTGTCTGCCAACGTGCAATGCTGAAGATTATCTTTTATTTTACCATGGTGGAGATTATTCATGAGGCAAAAAATGCTAATTGACCTTCATTCTTTTAATATTTAACAATTAATGAATGAGGCTGAGTATCTTATGAAGAATTATGGAGATCGAGGCGGATAACACCCTCCAAGATCTCCATAATTCTTCATATGATACGAATTCAATAATTGTTTTATTATTCATTCAAAATAATTCCTAGTTTAAAAACATGGCTAAAACATGCTTACCGCCATCGATTCATCGATGTTAAGTTCATCTTCGATAGTGCACGTTTAGGGTTGTTCAGCTCCGCAAATATTCTCCAAATAGCAGCTCTTCGAGTTGTCTTCTTGCTGTTCTTGCCATGTGTTTAACTATTATCTCGCCTAGTTGTTACCCCCTTGAAACAAGTGAAATGTCCGCCATTTTTGTTTTCACAACCAAAACAACTCAACCTCGTCCCCAGGTCTTCTCGGTTAACGGTGCATTAACCCGCAAGAAAGATGCATTCTTGATGTCAAAATTCTTCCAAATTTGTTCATCAGTAGCTGGTTATGGTGAATTATGCGTGTGCTTTTAGCCAATCAGAATCGGGGAAATATTTTGAATGAATAATAATGATAACTATTATAGCGACAATCGAGCTGTGACATCACCTAGTATTAGGGTGCCAAGTAGAAGCGCCTTCGTTGGTTCTTGTTACCAAAGTTTCAGTCTTAAGCCCTTCTTGTTTTGTTGATCATTTTAAACCAGTATCTTCCATTCATTCCTATTATACACGTCAATCACAGAATGATAATCTGTTTGTTAAATCGGTTCATACCACTCAATACGGCTTCGTTACGTTCTCTCTGTTAAAATATATAGTACCAACTTTTGGAATTCGTTATCTAGATCTATCGATCGGATGTTAAGAAAATCAAGCCGTTTTCCCTTCTATGATTGATGGCTATAGACTGTTATTAATTCCTAAAGTTTTATGATTATATTTTCTTTAACTACTATTTAATTAATGAAGTAATGCATTTTACCTAAAATAACTGTTTTGTCGATATCCCTTCCACTCGTATTCTTGTTTTGGGTCACCTACTCGATTAGTTCTAAGCTACGAACTATTTAGGTGTCTCAAACTCTGCACAATGAACCTAAAATTGAAATTTTTTTTTTCCCCCACAATCTTTTTTCTATTGTTATTATATTTAAAAGCACTGATTTGTATTAATTAATATTTTGAGTGAGTTTAAATGAAAAATTAACTTGACATGACTTGACTGTCCATCAATAAATTAACACCACTTTTTGTTTTTTAGTAAAGTTTGCACTTCTTTATTTATTGCTTTTTCACATGACGTCACTAAAATTCAAACTACAAAACTATTGATCCTACTGAGATTTTACTTCTTTATGATGTGTTAGAGCAGCTAAAAACTAAATTTCCAACGCAGCATTTTCAAGATGCCGAGAGTGCTGTCATGTAGGTTAAAAAGTGACGTATTTCGAGGAATTCTCCTATCTAAACAAGACCAACTGGGTAGCATATGTTTCTGTTGGTTTCCGTCCGCCATGTTGGTGCCCATCCAGGTGGGCACCAGCATGGCGTCTCCATACAAATCTCTATATATTTGGGTAAAACATTTCTTCAGATATCTCTTCTGGCAATCTTGGCGAGGGTCCTTGTATATTTACCTCCTTTCATTTCCCAGATTTTGGACTTTATTTGTTAACCCTCGGGAGTACAGGCAAATTCATACCCCACACCATGGTACAAGAGGTGGGGGGAAGATGGAACCCCTCCTCGGAGTTTTTGATATGTTGCAGTATTTTGAAACGATTTTACCTTTAGCGGAAAGCTTTTGATCTTCTTAACAAGATGAGGTATATCTTAGGGGTGGTGGCGCTGCTATAGGCCTGTGACGTCACCAACAATGGTTGCCATCTTGGCCGCCATCTTGGATTTTACCAAGAATTAGAAATCAGGTTCAAACTTCAAGAAATGGTATTTTTTGTGCTTTACATGAAAAATAACATATAAATAAGCACTTTGCATGATTTTAGCCACAGGATCAAAGATTTACTTTTATTGCTGAAAGAAGTTAAAAAAACATGTATTTTCTCCCAAAATTGGTTTGACCACCTGCCACTTATGACGTCATTACTCGTAACCATAGCAACTGACCGTCACTAAACTTGTCTCACAATGTGCGCGAGGGATGAATGAACATTTACTGAAAACGTCAGGTACTGATGTTTTATCCTCTAGGAAAAAACTCAGAAAAACCTTATTGTGGGTGGCCAACCTCGTCGACCCAGGGCGCTTTTCCCCGGCTTTGGAAGTGGTAGCTAGGAAACGCGCCCTCGGGACGAGGTTGGAGGGTGGCATCCCCCACCCTTCCTTGTACGTCCGAGGGTTAAAAGGTTTTGATTTTTATTTAATTTGATCTATTTTGATTGGCGTGACACTGAAAACCAGCAATTCTAATAATATCACACAACGGTGAACTTGACTTTAAGAAACGCACACACGAAAAATAGAGAGCCGTAAACGGCCTTTTGGTTCTATTTGTATCGGTTATTTTCCCAGCTTCTTTAAAATCCAAAAAAATCAAAAAAAAATTTAAAAAAATAGATTTAGGCGGCATTTAACAAGATACTAGGGGATTTCACTTTCGGCCAAGACCAGTATATTCAATATCACTGGTTAAAAATTCGAACGCGATTGCAAGGTCGCATAAATTAAAAGTGGGCATTTTATCTGTACCGGAATAGCAATGTGGTCACAAGTGAACTTAATTGTTTGTGAAGCATATTGCTAATTAATTCTTTAAACGGTAGGGATGTACGTACAACATGTGCCTTGATTATAATGGACTGATTTCATTTTAGGATAAGTTTTGACGAGTGGTCTGTTTTTTGCTCGTTTTGGATGAACATTTTTTCCTTTAGTCGGTAGATATTTATCTTTTCACGAGTCACCCGCAGCCATGATACATTGCACGCTTCTAAAACTATGTTTTCAAGTTCGAAAACATAACGGTGGAAACCGAAAACAAGACTGCTGAATATGTTGGAATTTCTGGGATTGTAGACTAATGGCACCGATGCTAAACTCGCCGCAAATAGGCCATCTGCACGATCGCGTCTTTTTACTACTACGACCAGAATACTTTTTACTTTTCCTTTCATGTTTAAATTTGGAAATCCCAGCGAGTTTTAAATAACAAAAGCTCAAATTTGCAAAAGAAAGCAAGACTCCGGAAGGATTCTGGTCATAGTAGTTATTATGGTCTATTATCGTAGTTGAGCTGGAAAGTGGCCCTTAAATCATTTACTGTTCAGCGTTCCAGTTTGCTGAGTCTTATTGTTTACAATAAAGGTCCTTACACGTAATCAAATCCGCGAAAGCCGTGAAGTTAATTGGACAATATGCCGACTGATCGAAACCGAAATATCAATGAATTTTTGAAGTGGTTAGAAATAACTGTAGCGGATATATTTTTTATAATAATAATAATAATAATAATAATAATAATAATAATAACTTTATTTCTATAGCGCTCTTATCCTATGTTCAAGGCGCTTTACAGTCATGTAAACAACATTATTGAAAAATATTTACAAATTTACAACCATATCCTAATATATTTACAATGGCTAAAAAAGGAAAAAAAATAAAACTTAAACAACGATTAAACCATATTCATAATGATAAAAAAAGGGAAAAAATTAAAACCAACGCAATATATACAAATCTATAAAAACAATGATCCGTTATTACTGAATTTAGTAAACAAGTACGTCTTAAGTGATCTTTTAAAACTGGAGATGGTATTGGACTTCCGAATTTCATAGGGTATTAAGTTCCATTCTCTTTATATTATGAAACGATTCGTTCAATGGACGGGAAGCAGATAACTACGATCACTTAAAAGTGACTGTGATAATAATAAGCCTCCGAAACACAATTATACAATGATGTGAATGCTACACGCGCTGTGATTGGTCGTTATCCATGATCTATTGGAGTACAGATACATGGATGACGTCACTGGAAACTTGTTTTCCTTGTTTTGTTCAACATAGCGCCCGGTTTTGAAAATGTTTGTGAGATTATTTCGGATTAAAGCAAGTGAAAGCCTCGAAAAAAACTTAGCAATAGCTAACGTATTTACAAAGAAGAAAAATGGAGAAAAGGAGAGAAAAAGAGCTCTTTACAACTTAAGAATGCCTAAACTACAAGAAATCTTCACAACAGTTGCCATCGTGTGTCCTGTCTACGAGAGACTCGCTGTTTTGCAAAATATTTTCCCCATTATTCTGCTTTAAGCAAGAAAAGACGTTGAAAAACTTTTCGAAGAAGCTGTATACAAGTAAGATAAAGAAAAAAAGAAGAAGCAGAGACGAAATATAGAGTTTGGGACTTAAAAAATGCCTAAACTAGCACAGATCTTCGAACAGTCAAGCGGTACGAGGCAGGTACGTCATCGGTCTTTTTTCTTTTCTGATCATTGTATAAAACAAATAGATTCCACGTTGCCATGCGTCTGTTCAATAATAGATCACAGAAGACGTCAAAATGTGGTAAAAACAAAGAAGTGGCACACGAGCCGCAGGCGAGTATGTCACTGATGTTTTTACCACATTTTGAAGTCTTCTGTGATCTATTACTGAACATAGAATCTATTTGTTAAATAGATGATGAAAAAGATTGATGGTATCTTCCATGAACATTTAAAAAGAAGGATCTTTGCAAGTATTTTAACTCAAGGAGAATTTCTTAAAATATTGATGGACCATTTCCGAGTTCCCCCTGGCCTCTCTGTCAAAATGAGGTCAAGTGCCTCATTTTGAAAACGAAGGTTTTCGAAACTCGAAAGTGGTCTTTTGAAGTGAGGAATAAAGCTTTTAAGATGACACTCATAAGTTCTTGAGATTTCAGATTGTTTCATTCAAGTCTAATTTGAATAATTTTGCGTCTGTGGCTGTAAGGCAAATGTCGCCCATTTAAAAAGTATTTTCACTGAACAGGCCTAGGGACACTGGAGGTGTTTTCTCCCCAGCCAAAAAATACAGACACTTTGTAAAGTGTGAGTGAACTTTTAAGGGTAATGATAAAAATAAAAAATAGCCCTGATTTCGGTATCAAAATCAAACATCTCAAGATGGCCAGTGCTTAAAAGTCCCAGACAAAAGTATTTTGGAACGTTGTAAAAGTTAATAGTGGTTCATTTAAATCTTCAAAAAGATGTTTTCTTTCCTTTTGCAAAATATCCACGGTCACAAGTACGAATACAAACGCGCACAAACATTTATTAAGAAGTTTTTCTCAACATTGAGCCAGGGGAGGGAAAGAATAAAAGGAAAAAGAGGTAAAAAGTAGCAGCCTTCTCAACACTTTTGATGTTTATTGTAGGTTTTAAGTAAACTCAGAACAAATAGCGAAAAATTTTAAACGCGCGTGCACAATAGATGGTAAACTGTTTAAGCGTACTCATCATTTTAACTAAGTACAATTCAATCGGTTGCGTATTTTTGATAAAGCATTTAAAATTCTATTCTTCTTTTAATTGCACAACATTTGAAAAAGAATTGGGCACTTTTCCCCACTACCGTATGAGTTTCTATATTTTTACTCCTTTGGCTTTGCGTCACTGCCGATTTTGAGTGTAATGTAACTGTGAAATACCACCTTAGGTTTTGAACTTGATCTTAGTGTATATATTAATTAGCAATCAATGAATGAGGCTGAGTAGTATGAAGAATTAAGCAGATCGAGGAAATAACTAAATAATTCCTAGTTTAAAAACATAGCTAAAACATGCTTACCTGCATCGACGTTAAGTTTATCTTCGATAGCGTACGTTTAGGTTTGTGCAGCTCCGCAAATATTCTCCAAATAGCAGATATCGCCCTCCGAGTTGTCTTCTTGCTGTTTTTGCTATGTTTTTAGCCATTATTTCGCCTAGTTCCAGCTGTAGTTCTTACTCTTGAAACGAGTGAAGTGTCTGCCATTTTTGTTTTCACAACGAAAACAACTCAACCTGGTCCCCATGTCTTCTTGGTTAACGGTGCATTAACCTGAGAAGGCTGCATTTTTGACGTCATTTCCCAGTTAAACACAAAATTTTTCCAAGTTTGGTCATCAGTAACTGGTTATGGTGAATTATGCCTGTGCTTTTGGCTAATCAGAATGGAGAAATATTTTGAATGAATAATAATATATTTAAAAGGAATACGTATTAATTAAGAAGAAATCTGGCATAGTTTGACTTTACTGGTAGCCTAATGTAGATTCGTGTAAATAAGATCATCTTGGCTCATCTTAGTTCATCTTAGTACCATAGTCAATCAAATCCCTTGCAAGAGTAAAGTTTATTTCTGGAAAGTAAAAACAGAAAATTAATATAGCTGATTTAAAAAGAACTCTATGTCTGTATTTTAAAGAAGGACGTAATGTTTCTTTAGCAGAGTACTCGAACATAGGTCCAGGATTGAAGGTATTACTATATTAATTGTACGTTTGTCATACCTTAATGTTCGACTTGGTTGTTTGTCACTTTCATATAACTTCATATTTGACACAATTAAAGGTAAATTTATTAAAATACGGATAAAGGTAATTTGACATCGAACTTTTATCCCTGAGAAAATTTTATGCTGACAATCAGGAGAATGATACATCTCCTTAGGGTCACAATCTGGACATTTTTCAAGGTTCTTTCGAGACAATGCAACAAGCGTAACATTGTTCAATGGATTTCATGGTGCGTCAACTTTTTTCAGAAGCGTCAAGCAATAGCAAGTTTAAAAGAAATTTTTTTATTTAATGGGCCAAAAGGTTTCGGCTGTTGAGTGGACTCTTTATCCTGAACTCAAAATATTACTTTTTCGTAGGTTTTTAACCGTTCTGGTGAAAAACATTTCAAAATTTTAATTGGTTGGTCAGTAAGCACATTTGAAGGAGTAGGTAAGAGAGTTTGGAAAAGTGGCAGTATTAAACAATATTACCTACTCCTCTCCACAAGATTAAAGTCTGTTGACCTATCCCCTAAATATGAGCAGAAAACGTGACCTAGTCGCACTACCTTAACTCAGAGTCAGAACACAACTTTGACTGCTTTCAATATTTTTCTTCAATAGAGCAACTATCTAGTAAGTGGCTTTCCCATTTACAATATAAGAAAATACTAATTGGTTGTTAGGTAGTAGGACCATACTAACGAATTCAATATTCTTTTGGCTTGACTGCATTTGTTTTTATGAACTACATATTGAAAATGCATGCAGAACGTGTATGAAAAAGAGAACAGGATAATTAGTTGCCCTTTCATGTGAGTTTCTTTTATAGGAATTAACTGGTAGTTTGAATACCACAGATCATTCTAATAACGAGAAATTTATACAAATGCATCCCCCTTCACTAACATCTTTCGACTGAAAAAGTGAATAGTTGCATAATCAGCGTCAAATGCTCATAAGGAAATTTTATGCTTACACATTGTTGGATATGCTGTAATAACCCGGATGTTTCCATGCTTGTTTTTTGTAAAAACAACTTTTACGACGTTTAATAATCGTGTGCAAAGTTTGTCTGCTTGGTCAAATTCAACAAATTCTCCCACGTCGTATGGGAAGGTCTTCTTGGCAACATGTGTTCCACCTCTTTCAATTGTGTGTACATCGGGGCACAAGATTGTTTTCTGGACAATGAACAGAATCTCATCCTTTAACATTCCACAGAGGAACATCGTTTTGGGCTGGTTGCCAAAAACATTATGCTTGTTAATTTTAGCAACGCTGAAAAATAATAAATGAAAAGTTAAGGGAGAACTTAAAAAGCCTTGATATTTGGAAAAACGTTGCGGCATACTGCAGATGGCTGCATATTTTTTCTTTCTTTTCACTTAAGGATAATAATCTGTAACAATGATGACACTTTCAAATGTTCATGATTCTCTGACCTGCAATTTTTGTAGCCCAGACTGCTCTAAAGACGTACTGATTAAAAATCAGACTGATTCTGAATCTAATAATGAACCTTATGGCCCATAATTATCTTCAGCCTTATCATCATCATCATGATCAAGATCATCATCAATTATTTGCGTTATTTTAATACTTACAAGCGTTTACCCTATTTGTTTGGAGAGGGGATCTTAAGAAACCTTATGGATTGCGGGCCACCTCGAATGTAGTCAATCACATGTTTACACGCGCGTGTGCAAAATTAGTAAATACTCCAAGATCTCTTCCAAGCTTAGAAAGCTTGGCAAGCTGCTTATTGAAACTAGGAGAGAATTCCAAGTTTAGAACTTGGTTAAGAATTGCAAATTGCTTAAGATTTGTAGGAAAAGGATGCTTTCGATACTTGCTTATTACCTGTTATAATGCCATGGTCTTACAGTAACTACTTTTAACAAACAATTAACAACATCAGAAATGATTATAATGATAAAATATTATTAAAAAATATCTCAGGTTCCCAATTTGGTGAATACAAGGGAGTTAGAATGTGCTTGATGGTCTGAACAGTGATAGCTCTCAAAGTTCGTATTTGAATCCCCCCATATCAGTTGCAAGTAAAAAATTCTATTTAAGTTAGATAATTAATTTACAGGACAAAGTAAGTTAAATTTTTGAAGAAATTAAGTAAAATTGAGACTTGAATAGTAGCAAACTGATTCAGAGATTTTTGTTTCTCTGGTAGGTAATATAGTGTTTCTTGCTAGGACGCTTATCGACATAGACACCAAGACACTTTGCCTTAGTTTCTTTTTCAATTATCGCTTTTTTGCTTTTCCTCAGTTAGTACAGACTGCAACCAGTTGAGGTGAATCCACACAAAAGGTAACTGACGTCGTCAGCGAAAGGTAAAGGCTTTGTTAATTTAGAGGAATAAGGAGGCTTATTTATCGAGAACCAAAAATACGAGGAGGGACTACAATTAGAATGCACTCACCAAACTGCAAGCTTGTCCCAGTAATTTAAGTCATCATATAAACTAGCACTAAACTTTTTAGGGACGTGAAAATGTTTTTGCAAATGACAGAAATACTCTTCTGTATTTAATATTCGACCGGCCATTTTTCTTTTTTTTTTTTTTTTAAACAGCGATTTATTAGGCCACGTCCACACGAATCCGGCTAAGCTGACGAATCCGATTTGGATTCAACTATCGACACGAATGCTATTGCGCATTCTCGTCCACAGAGCAACTCGGCTAAAGATCCTTGTTTCAAGACCTCGTGAACAAGAAACGACGGGATTTTGGGACGAGAATGGCTACTGCGATATACATTTGCTAGTTACTAGCTAGTAGGCATGAGTAAACCATACTGCAGTTGAAAATGGAACATTGTTTTTATCCGCCATTTTGAACTTTTAAGTTTTCATTTAAGACTGGACCCGAGTTTATGACGTAGTTGACTTAAAAATATCCAGTTTCAGTCGTCCATACGAATTCACCAACCCCGTCGGATCTAAAAGAAACCACTTTGGAGAGCGGTTTCAAAAATATGTAATTTCTGTATACGGTTTCAAAAGTATCGGCGGGCCTTGGGGCGAATTGCATTTTGGGAAATCGTTAAGCGTTACATGGTGTGGTTGAGTCACCGTTACAACGTAACGCGAAGATCTCAGGCGCTCTACTTTTCGGAGTCACCGCTTTACTTTCCGCTCGTTATTGAGAAGTTACAGATGAATTATTATTTTGTGCACTTTTGCCAGGCGTTCTTTTCAGTAGTCCTTGCCCAGTTTTGGCGCCAGTTCGGAGCATCACGCAAAAGGTACATGATATACAATAAACTGGGCCGCATATTTAAACCTATGGATTAAGAGCCTTCTGGCAGAAATGTGCCACTTTAATACCCAAAAATACAAGGAACCTGTTTAGCAAGATCAAGTAGGTTCTTAACCATGGATTATAGTTATATTATTATAAACATTTTAACGAACGAGTTTGACTTTGAGATTGCAAATTTATATTACAAGAAAATACTGTGTCAAACTGTAATTCCTAATAAAAGTGTTACTGCAATTCCTACAACAACAAAAACCAATTGTCTTTATGGGCCTTGCATAAGGAGGTTTGCAACGTACAGTTGTGACTAAATATTGAAAAGGACCAAACTCACGAGTTTCTTTACTTTTTTGGTAGTCAACAAGTCTGTTTCCTTCACATAAATTAAGAACCTTATTAAGAACCTTAGCCTGAGTCGCCAAAGTGAATAAGTACCCCAAAACACAAGTCAGAACTATTTTGCCAGACTTCAAAAAAGGTAGTTTCTTGTATGCGGGTGTTTACTGTATATTTAAAAGAAAAACCTTTATGTCGGGAACAAGCATCATTATCGATGTTCCACTTATCATTATTTCTCTCAAAATATTCATCAGAAGGTTCTAAATTTGATAAAACGGAAGCGCTAAAAGAAGAAGCTTCTTCGTCATAAAATAATTATTTCTAACATGTCATGATTTTTAAGTGATTTTAATCACAACAAAAATATTGCTAAGAGTATGCGAGAGGTATGTCTATTTTCCGGAACTACGAAACCCAAACTTTCATTTTCAAAAGATTTAGACTACTGTCAGAAAGCTTTGTACAAGATGGACGACATAGACAGAAGTAGTAATTCACATAAAACCCCGTGGCTTAAAAAAAAAAAACAATTATGACTTAAAATTTGCCCTTCTTATAATTATCTTGGTCCGTCCATTATGCAACACTTGGGAGTTTTTGTTTAGTTTTCACACTAGACGACTTCCTTGATGAAATATGGAGAGGATTACATGTACTCACTTGACATTAGCTAGACGTATACCTCATATTTATATTATTTTATCGTACTCTAACTGTTGGAACTTTGTTATCAAAATAGTGAGGAAAATATGCTAAAGTGAATTGATCGAATCAACATCCGTTCGTCATTTAATATCAGCGATTGTTTAATCTATAACTCTCACACAACTAAACAGCAAACTTAACTTTACATAATACAAAAGATTGCTATAACACAGCCCTTAAGAACTAGATTTAGTCACGTTTTGCATCATTTTATTCGTCTGCTTATCTTTTAAAAATTAATAAGATGTGGCCTTGGTCAAGTAGTTAACACAAAGGAATTTCAAATTTGGTCAAGTTTTTCCTAGAATTTAATTCTGAGTGACGTTGATATTGCGCTTATAAACATATAGTAGGCAGTCGCTACTCTTGTAAATCATTATTCAAAGACTTAAGACAAAAGGATACAGAAAACTGAATCAACCAAAATAATAATAAGCCAACAAGTCTATCAAGATACACATGTTTCGTAGTAGTTGGCGTTTGCCACGAACTTCCAAATAAATAGGAATCCATAAAAATGCTTGAAATATTTCTCCAGACAAAGAATTTTAAAGTGAAGGAAAGATTTTGCTGCAGAACATTGAAGTTGGCACTCACTTTATTTTAAGTTCAGATTACTTCAAATTACCCTTGCCCGAGGGGAATTAGCAAGTTCTTTTATTTTTGCTATGGAACCGCGACAATAAATTCTTCGACTTCAAAGATTATTTTGATAACGTTGATGACATTCCATTCTTCGATACCAATACACGAACTTTGTCGAAGTATGATGAGTATTACATCTAGAGAATCACTGGGTTACACTGCACTCATGAGTGTGCCACCTAAAGTACAGTCTAGTCTGTTTGTAAGCTCTACCTAGAGAATCACTGGGTTACACTGCACTCATGGGTGCGCCATTTAAAGTACAGCCTATGTTCGTAAGCTCTACCTACAGAATCACTGGGTTACACTGCACTTATGGGTGCGCCACCTTAAGTACAGCGTATGTTTGTTAGCCATACCTAAAGAATAACTAGGTTACACTGTACTCATGGCTGCGCCACCTAAAGTACTGTCTATGTTTGTTAGCTATACCTAAAGAATCACTGCTTTACACTGCACTCATGGGTGCGCCACCTAAAGTACAGCCTATGTTTGTTAGTTATACCTAAAGAATAACTAGGTTACACTGTATTCATGGCTGCGCCACCTAAAGTACAGCCTATGTTTGTTAGCTATACCTAAAGAATCACTGGGTTACACTGCACTCACGGGGATAAAAGCTCGCGTAAGGCTCGCGCTTTCTTCAAAGAAAAAAGCTTCTTCATAATAGAAGAGCTTTTTTGTTAGGGTTAAACAAGTTTTCAACAAGAAATTATCAGCATAATTAAAGCGCACAAACATTGTCATCTAAATCCTCGCACGTAACCGGAATAAACCAAGTAATGAAGCATATAACGAAACATCGTCCTTAAATGGTATCGATAACTAAATTACACTTAACTTTGCCAAAGAAACTATTGTTTGTATCAGTGATATCCATCGAAAAAGCGAGGAGTCATCGCATGACATTAGGTATAACAGAGGTAATGCATCAGTCAATTCCAGCTGCGCCCAGCTCCCCCGCCGCCCCCGGACTGCCCCCCGGGCATTAGCATCTTTTTTGCCTGGGATGGCAAATTCCCGGGGGTGGGGACTCTTCAGCTGTCAAATTCCCCGGGGTAGGGACGAAAACAGAAGGCAAATGCCCTGTTTTCTGTCAACACTGCAACATTTTTCATTGATCGCACAGTCGAAAAGTGCCGTTTTAAACATTTTAATGTGCGACTTTTTGTTTCAAGTAACGTCTTCCTTTGTAATAGCACTAGGATTCTAATTAACCCTCATACGTACAAGGGGGAGAGAATGCCACCCCCAAAAAGGTTTTTCTGAGTTTTTTTACTAGAGCATAAAACATCAGCACATGACGTTTTC